ACTAAGAAAGCACAAAGAAAATTGCCCTACCATATATATATATAAATGGCATCTCAGAAAACACTGCAAGACTCTTCGAACCTTTAGGAATTGACGTCGCACACAAACCAACAAAATCACTCCACTCAGTTCTATGTCAACCAAAAGACTCAAAGAAGATAAAACCGGATATCATCTACAAAATAAATTATAACAACTGCGAGAAACACCACATTGGCCAAAGGGGCTTTAGGTTGACATGTCGACTTCTTATGCAGATGCTTCGACGATATCTGGGCATGTAGTTAGAATTTAATTGGTGGATGGTGACTATGGACACTGGGTTCGAGCCTCGGTGGGAACATCATCACTCACTGCCGAATGCAGGTACATACAGATGAAGAGTCCCAAATAGGACGAAATGCGCACACTAGATTCCACTGCAAGTCACCATCCACCAATTAAATTCTAATTACATGCCCGGACATTGTCAAAGCATCTGCACAAGAAGCCGACATGTCAACCTGACACCGAGCACTTCGGTCCAATCAATCGACGGGAAAATCTAAAATTCAGTTAAATAACTATAAAATGGCCAATTTAAATTAGAATCTCAAAGTTATAAAGGAACCTAAGGAGTATATCATGAGCAGTTGTGTTAAAATTTAAAACTAGCCGAACAGAAGTAATGCTAAAAATGAACGCTAAGATTTCCTATTAAGGCATATATTGCTAATCATCAGACAGGGACAGTTCATTTCTAATCCCACATACTTGGCTCCCATAATTCTCATAATACATGAAGAGTCCGAGTGATACAGCTGACTTAATCACAACAGTCGCTTTAAATTGCACCTGGATTACTACCTGTAGAAAAATATGCAGAGATGACCACAAAACATCTTTTTGAAAACAATCGCCTAAAAGGCTGAATAAACAATTTAACACAGTTATGCGATAAGGAGTCATCTTACCTGAGTAAAATAAACAGTAACAATCGATTACCCTAGCTGAAGTATATGTTCAAACCCCCACAATTCACCAGTTGACTCAAAAAGGTTAAAGGGAATAAAGTTTTTTAACAAGCTGCTTATTAAACTAAGGGTTATAATGGGGCATAGTAACACCCAAATATAATTTCCAAATCCAAATATTAGCAGATCACTTATAATAACACTTGTTATAAATAGAGATTTGCGACTCAGGTGTATGATTTTGAATTATTTGTGTTCTCTGAGTTGGTTGATTTAAGCCTTTCGTTGTTCTTCTAGAGAACCACAACAATTACAGTAGTAATAACCCTGTTATCCACGAAAGAAACTATGTGCAAACACTGTTTAAAAGAGTTCAAACTCATTGTAGCACTACTCCGGTATTGAAGAGAATGGAGGAAAAAATACCTACTAACTGTCTTCAAAAAGAATGGATATCCCCACAATTTCATCAAAAACTGTTTAAAGTCGAGTCACAACATCAACAAGAAACCATCATCAAAGACTACTACCATATATAAAAAATACCTCTGAAATAACAGTTAGAATAATAAGACCGTTTGAAATCGATATATCACACAAGCCAACACAATTACTTCATTCGATATTGTGCAAATCGAAAGATACAACACAAAAAGAAGATAAAATTAATACCATTTACAAAATAAAAATTCTATGAAATATAATAAACATTACATCGGTCAAAGGGGGCGTTTCTTTCGAATCCTCATCCAAGAACACAAATCAGTTGTTAAAAGGTATGATATATATTTTTTTATATCGGTGCATGAAGACACCAATTTGATGATTGGGAAAATGTATAAATTTTAAATAAAAGAAACGCCTAAAATGTTAGGATTTATAGAAGCCTGGTACTCAAGTGAATCAGCAATTAACAAACTTATTAATCTAGACCAAATTTACCATCTAATAAAAAGTAAATCACACGACAAGAAAGTTGAAATTCCAAGTCAATAAAAATGACCAATAGAGACGTAAATCAACAGTGACAACAATGGTTACCACGAGATACAAGTATATCATTCATGGAGAATCCAAATAAGTTCACTCCATACCAAAACCTTCGCTGAAGATGTTGTCTAGAAGGACAACGAAAGCTCCGCAATTAAATCAACCACCTCAGAGGACACAACTAATTCAAAAACACCTGTTAGTGTTTGTAATATGCATAACAAGGAGGTCGGATATGCCGAGGCTCTGAATTTTGGTTTACAGGGCAGGAAACACATCATTTAAGTCTCACGGAGTTTTAGAGGCTCCAAGAAATTAGACCCCGATTTATTTCATTTGCAACATCTTCCTGCTGTCCTGTCGCTATGCGAGACTTACAATTCCAGTTCCAATTATTTCCGTTTACGTTAGCTCTTCATCTAGCTGTGAAAACTTGGATTGTCATGCAGTAATGTCACGTCCTACATAAATTTTGCTTTGGTTGTTAAACTAGACGTATTTTCAGGTAAGGCCTAAAATATCGCCCAACAAAATCAAATTACGAAGTACTTAACATATAATCATGAGTTGTCTTCTTATATTCATATTATTGGATTGGATAAGTAATTTGTGCTAAATGACTACAAAATTCTGAATAATAAGAGGGGGATACAAAGCACACTACCCCAAACTAAGGCGATTTACTTACACCAAAGGTTTATATCATGCTTTAACTCTATTTCTACATGTATCAAGTAACTATCAGTACACAAATGCTAAATGTTTCTTAATAACCAAATATATACACATATGCATTTCGAAAGAGACAAATACTACATGAGAGCCAGGGGTGCTGACTAAGCTTATGAAGCACGTCTCCAACTGCACCTCCTAAAATTTAAAGTCGCAAACATTGTCGCAACAGACACCAGTTATTAAAGTTCTTGAACAATTTTTTCAGGACTTCAATGTGTAATTTTAAAATATTTACTGTGATAAACAACCCCATACAACAGATGCTATATGGAGATTCAATTTAGTAAATCTATGGTTGACTACAAATTGTAAATAACTACAGTGAATAAAATAAGTATGAAAACTGAACTAAAGTTGCTTACTGGCAAGTTGTTGCAAAATTTCGAAACGCAAGAGGGTTAGATTTCGTGAAATCAAAGTGCCTGGGGATTACACTAAACATACTGTTTGAAAATGAAGCTGTCCGGGTAAACTGTGATAAGCTTCCCATTTGATCAGACTGGTTGAATAATGATGGACTTTTGCACAGCAAAGAGTAAGCCTAAAGTGGGAATCACGTTGAACCAATCACATTAAATTACGCTTGATGATGATGATGAATTTCGACATCTCACAGAGGAAAGCACACCGGTGTAATCTGGATCACTGATACTGAAAGAAGTTAGAAAGAAAGTTATCATTTACCTAGCAAGACGACTATAAGCAACTGAAGATATAGTATTTGAACCAGTCTAAACATGTTTTTCGGTAATCATATAACTACCTCATACTGACCATACACCTCTAAATCACTAGAACCCCCATGTACTGGGGTAGCGATGAGAAACAGAAACATAAGCTTCCGTAAGAGTTCTAAATTCTGTTAGTGTTGGTGGTTGTCATACCTGCATCTCTTGGAACACTGTTGATTAATGCATCTAACCTCCTGGCTCTCTTATCTCTTCCCATCTTTTTAAGCTCAGAAACCACAATTTCATGAAGTTTTTCATAAAGATCAATTCCAGGATGAACAACTGCTCCATTAGAATATCTAAAGTGTGTATGTTAAAAAAGCAAAAACAAACTTGTGGGGGCCTTTTAGAAAAACGAAAGCGAGATCATACGTTTGGATCTTTAATCGTTTCCTTATTTTATGGACATTTAAATTGTGGTAGTTAAATTTCAAAGTTGACTTGGAAATGAGTCGGTCAATGAATTCAAACAGTGACAAATCAGTATCTCCTGACATAAGGGTCAATTATATGGTATATGAAAGGGCGACCTTATGGCATATTCTAAAAACCGCAAGTTCAAGTGAGCTCCAATTGGACTAAAGCAAGATAGAAGAGTCTCTGAACAAATGACCTTGAGTTCGTATCATCCGCCCCTCCAATGTATCTTCAGATTTAGATTTATTAGTTGAGGATAGAAGGGCTGAAATTATCCCGCATGCTCAAGGTCATTGATGGAGTGAGACGCTCAAAGGTCATTTTCGTCCATGTTAGTCGGTTATGTTGGAATGCAGTTCCATAGCCGTTCGTTTACACATTGATTTTATGTTCTGTTGGCATTTATAGGTGATTCCCATGTACTGATAGCATTCTTTTGTAAAATAGTACTGTTCTTCACACGAAAATAGCCACATTTTGACGTAGTCTTCATTGAATGACACTATGTCGAAAGCTGCAGCTTCTACAAGAAATAAACTATTTGTGTAGATGACATTACCCACCAACTACCCCATCTTCTTCATTGTAGAGATGTTTTGACGCATTCAGCATGAAACACTAATCATTACAGCCAATATGTTAAGTGTGTCGCAGTCAGATTAAATGACGCAGACACCAACATAACTAGCCAGGAAATGAGAATTCCTATCAATCCAGAAAACATACAACAAAATTTTATTAAAAACTATTGACAAAACAAATTTGCCGAGCGAAATTTCAACCAACATGCCGGATAAGTCCAGCCGGATAGAAGGCTCGGAGCCTATGTTAACCCGTTTCTATTAAACCCCTGTGATTGTCAAAACCCTCGTTGAATGAATCAGTTGAGGCTGCAGACACCCCTTTTCCTGGGAGTCGGTTCCAGGAATTTATCCAATATCGTTTTTACGAGCTAGTATAAACCAATTTGATTTCTTTGTGCTTGCCTCTTGATTGCGAAGTATAGGTACCTGATATTCGGTAAATTTCTGCGTAGCTCGTCCCGCCACTCAACTGTCGTAGCTTTGGTTGACTCCAAAAGGAGTTGTGCTGGGATTAATTATATGTGGTTTGCAGTATGAGGTGTGTTAAGACTGTTACTACTGTGAATGGAGTTGATCCTTTCACCAGTTAGTCCTCCGGTATCGTCTTCAAGAGAAAAGAGATAATAAAAATAATAGTCGTAGATAGTCAAGTTATTCAGACTAACAGACAGAAAAAGAAATAAAGGAAACATAACGACAGTCAGCTGATTAAATTTGAAGGATAATATATGTATACATATATATATATATTGGTAACAATGATGGTAATAATAATAAGTATAGTTAAGGTTGTCAGGAGAGTAAGACTGAAGAGAATTTAAAGAAGTAAAACGAAGAACTTAGTTGTCTACCCCTGAATGGTGAATGGGATTTTAAGGAGATAGGCCACTGGACGCAGTCCCTGTGTCACTGCATGATTGTCCACCCTTCGCATAAAAGGCGTCCACAGACGGTGCCATAGCTACATCTGCCGGTAAGGAATTCCAGGGATGCCAAACCCCGCAGTGAAAAGAAGTGGGAGCGCAGCCGGGTCCTTGCTCTCAGGTGAGCTGTCCTTCTGGAATTTCCACGAGGAAGCCTATACCTACTCAATGGCAGAACACCGTTGTTTGGGCGATTCCGGTCATTTGTTATTTTGACTCAGTGTGAGAATCAGTGCTCCACAGCAGTATGGTTTCTCCTTGGCTTTTGAACTCACCTGCTATATCCTTTAAGTTTGTAAATTAGGTATGCCCAGAATCATACGTGTTGCCTTCCTTTGAACCCTTTCTAGGATATATGAGTCTCGCTTAAGACAAGGACTGACTGCCTGGATATAGTTTTCTAGTCTTAACTTCACCAGAGATGTATATAAGGATATGAACATATCTCTGGTGATTCTACAAAAGGCTCAAAAAGATTTGAAACTACGTGCAGCCATCGCGCGACAATGTGTTGTAGTTTTCGAGTCGTGACTTACAATGAAACCTAAATCCAAATGTGTCTGAACTGGTGGGAGTGTTATTCCCTCACTTCGTAGATGCTGATGCTTGCGTGTTCGGTGTGCATGGTTGTACATTTTACTACACTAATCAGGAGCGTCCAATCTCTGGACCACTCCAATCATTTATTCAGGTCTTCTTGCAACGTGGGCGTTTCACTGTCGCCCTTCAGCTCTCCAGATTTTTAAGCTATCTCCATATAGGAAAACTGGGTAACCAGTGAGCACACATTACTCACTGATATGCAAAATAAATAGGAGAGGCCCGAGTATCGTGCTTTCTGGCACTCCACTACGCACTGTTGTCCAGGAGGAGACTTTCGAGTTGATCCTGACCCTCTACCTCCTAATTATAAGGAATCCCTTTATTGAGTTTAGTGAGCTGCCTTCGATACCAGGACTCCAAATTTATGCGTACTCTTTTGCGAGGATTTTTATCGAAGGCTTTGCTGAAGCCTATGGAAATGATGTCAACGGCTCTTCTGCCGTCCCTTTATTCGACCTAGCTTTCTGTAACAGTGAGATTTGACAGGCATAAGAGGCTTCCTCGGAAGCCATACCGTACTCTGGATAACAAATTAATGTTCCCCACATATGCCATAGTACTTTCCTTGGTGATTCCTTCCAGTGTCTTGATTAAGGTGCTGGTGAGACTAATGGGCCTGTAGTTTGAAGGGCTTCGTCTTGATCCTCATTTGTAGATGGAGGTTACTATGGCGCCTTTCCAGTCATGCGATAACCCGCCATTTAGAAGAGATAGCTTGAAAATCGTGGTCAGTGGGCCGGCTCTGTGGACAGACAGCTTCTTGAGAAGTCTTGGATGAAGGTTATCAGGATCCATTGATTTCCCTGCATCTAGTTTCATTAGGCACTCAATCACGATGCCTTGTTCGACATCAACGGAGTCTACCATGTGTTCCTCTGATGCAGCCAGAGCCGATCCTATGAGGAGTGACAACTCCAGTGTAAAGACTTGGGGGAAGTAGTCTGCCACTGCTTTGGCTTTTTCTTGATCTTCTACTGCGTCATTGTCAGCAGTCAGGTTTGGAACACCATTGGATGCCTTATTCCCGAAGTTCATGTACGAGAGATTTTTAGGTTGCGCCGTCGCATCTTGAGCTAGATATTCTCCGAACTTCGTTCATGATCGGCGGATGCCTGCAGTAGCTTTGTTCCTAGCGGTGTTGTATAACTTTCTGGTCCCGGGGGTCTCAAGTTTGATAAACAGGTTCCAGCATTTGTGTTTACATCTGAGTAACTTGTGGATCTCCCGGTTTATCTTCCTAAAGGAAGAAGATGTTGTAGGAGATCCACATCCTCACTATACGAGAACACTAGCTCTAGAGTTGAATAGGAGTGCTGTGAGTCATAGCGAGTAAGCTTCATGACACGTTGGACTGTGGTTAGAGAAATGCCTGATTCCAGCAGTTTATAATGAAAGGAGTTGTCTGTAGATGGCTTTGTAAGGCTTGTCCTTTCTACTAGCCAGTAACCAGTATAAGCCAAACTTGTTTTCTTGAGCCTACATCTTGGTGGTAACATAAAGGTTCCTTATCTTTGATAATCACCTGTGTCATTTGTGCATCCGATTGCCTCCCATAGCATTGGTAGTTTTCGATGGAAGTAGCACAGGTACCACTGCCCAATAATTTATTTGAGTAGAGCCCATGTAAACCTTATAATTTCATCCAGACATTTTGCAATGGTTCCAGGATTTTAGTGGATTCCGAACCAGTCTGCTCGATCAACTTCTGTAGCCTTTCTGGATGTATTAAGATGAGGTTTGTGTGCGTCCTTTATTTGATTACTGTTCATTCATGTATAGTAGTATGCGCATAGAGGACAGATTGAAAGTCGAGGGATTGCAGAGGTACTTCACGTTAAAATTACTCGGAACCGAAAATGGTGCGAACTACTCCACCAGATGTGATACCCTAGGACTAGAAACACTATGGCTAAGACGCCTGAGACTAAACTTAACACTTTACTATAAGCTTCTAAACCACTTAGTTTTTACCTCTACTAATGGCACTCGACTTTCAGATGACAATGGCTACAAACTAAGACACACTAAGGGTACAGTAGCTATCGAACAATGTAAAACAGCCACCAGGCAAAAATTTTACTTGATTAGGTATGCACAGATATGGAATAAACTGCCAGTGGAAATGCGTCAAGCAAGTACATTGGCCTCCTTCCAAAAGGTGCTTAATGACAAACTACAAGAGTTTGCAAACGATAATGGTTCTAGTTCCTATCTGAGAGCCTCCGAAATTATAGGTCCATTTGATGTATAAGCTTAAATACTACTCCTGTTGTTTTTTGCCTATATTTATAATTCCAGATAAAACATTAACGGTTAAGATACGTATCCTCAAACAGACAAGAAATCTCGTTTGCAAAACTACTACCCAACACAAAAAGTGGAATAAAATGGCCATAAACCGACAACATGAAAAAGGTGTAACTCACCACAACATCACATGGACAGATGTACGCTCGTTGGGCACCATATATCCCTCACCAACTGCAACCCACCTTTCCTTAGATAATGTGATGAACTTATATCCATAATGTTGCTGAGCAGTTAATATTCTCAACTCCTGTCGGAACAGCTGAAATTCATAAACCTTCCTCACGCTAAGAAAATACCCACAAGCAGTAGAAATCCATTAATTAATGCGTCTGAAGCTTATGTATTTACTCCCAACAATGACATTGCAGATCAAATGAGATAAACATATCACTGATTTCAAAATAACACATCAATGAACTATAATTCAAGGATTCTGCACACAACAAAGTTATGTATGAAAATTGACTTCAAGCTTTATTTTTTTCCCAGGCACTTATAATCCATCCACCAAAGACCTGGTTTTTTTGTTAATGCGAAGACAATACTTCTGTATTTCCTGATGTGTTGCACTCACTGACAATCTAACAGATTTTTCCAACTGTGCACAGAAATGATTGTATATAAGTGAAAAGGCTGTTTTATACTACTGGGATTAACATTTATCAAGTGTATGTATAATCTCCAGCGAACATGTAAAGCATATCTTGCTACTGCCTGTAAATTGTGATTGAATTATATGGTTCTATTTCTGTAACAATTTGATGATGCCTGTAAACTGGCGTCCCTCATGTACTGTACTATGAGAATAAA